GATAGAAACTTTAATAATTGAAGCCTTACTAATACAGTTTGAAAGCTCTTATCTCTGCAAATGACAACATTATTTTGATCTGTCTCCTTTTATGCCTACTTTTAAGATTAATAACTGTAAGCTAATTGCATTGAAATGTAATATGAATAGTTATTCTTCCTGGACTGGTTTTATTTCTTGATTAGGTAATATGAATTTAATCAGAGTTATAGTAGTCATTCTTTGGGCAATATCTCTTAAAAATGAAGATGTCTATCTTTTATTTTTAATTATGATTTTTTAAAAGGCTGTCTTAAAATAGTACAGAACCTAATAGAAGCATGATTTTCATCAAGATGATCTTTAAATTTTTCTATTTGTAGTTTCTTTGGAAATGGACCTGAAAGTTTGATTAGAAAAAATAAAAACAAGACTATAACAAAGGTATTAATGTAAATACCTAGTGATACTTAATATAATTTCTTTGGATAGTGCTCTACAAGTTTATAAAACCATTTCATATATAGTCTCATATAATCATAACAACTTTGACTTTTACAAATCTGGGAACCTGAGATCCAAACAAAAAGGTTAAGTGGTTTACTTAAAATCATATGTCTCCTAAAATAGAGAATTAGGATTCAAAACCTTATCTTTTGAGGCTAATCTAGTGAAAGCAATTTGCCTGAAAAGATACAGAGCCAATGTATTAGAAGTTTAACAAAACAATGTATAAGAAATTTTCTCATATTGATATAACTTTTGCTTTTCTTAACATAACTTTAACACTAGATTTTTATCTCATTCCGTGTATTTGTACTCGTGCAAGTCAATAATTATTCAGTTAAATTTTTTGAAGAATTAATCACCTATCAATGAATTTTAAAAACCCAATTCTTTGGTAAAATCATTTAGACATCCAGCTCCAGTGATGTATGTGCACATGTTGTGTTATGAATTCCCTGAAGATTTCTCTTCTACATTGCTTAGTTGGAACTCAAACTTTCAGCTGGAAAGGTCATGAACTTGTATAAAAAAGTCTGTTTTGGGCCGGGCGCGGTGGCTCA